ATGCCTTTTGAACAATCCATCCGCATACGTATATTTCTGGAGGAAAAAAGTGAAAGTTTCACTTATCACATATAGCACGTGTGTCAATATATGTGCGCATTTAAGTAAATCACATTTTCATTCATATTCTATTGTCCTCAGAAAAAGCGAAGAAAACACGGGTAAATGCACCACCTCTTTTTTACGGTTACGTCGTCGTTCACTATTAATTTTATAACAATTAAAAGTCGTTATTATTGCAGTTGCTTTCGTTGTTGTCTTATTGCTGTGTTATATGTTTGTTGTTGGCATTGTTAAATATTGATGAGTTAAATTAACTTGTTAGTGTACTACTACTACTACTACTACTACTACTACTACTACTACTACTATTACTATTAGACACTTGCTTCACGTATCTTTCGTTTGTTCCGAAATGCCTGTCTCTTGTTATAGTAAGCTGCTTGGTTTTCGGTTTGTTATTGAAAGGCTTCATTCATTCAACCGCATTATTAACTGTTTAACATATCTGTTTGTTTGTTTGTTTATGTCTTTGCCTGTCTGTCTGTCTATCTGTTTGTCTGTCCGTCCGTCCGTTTGTCTGTCTGTCTGCCTGTCTAGTAGTCTATCTAAATAGCGCATACTGTACAAATGCCAATAGTTTGCGGTCAATATGTACTTGTTGTTAAAATAAAGTGCTTCATTTAAATTTTAATAGATTTTGAAGTCGTGACTCTAACGTACGAAGACAATCTAAGCGACAACGGTAATCGACGTCTCCATTTGTATTGTAAATGATGCATTTGCATTTTGTACAAAAATCATCAGAGCAGTCATAGTTAGTTAGTGTCGGTGATCTTGAAATTATTTATTGCATACTTTTAAAGCCGAGAAATAACAAGCAAAGAAAATTTTAATAACTCATGCGGCGACTGCTTAAATACCCACCATACCCACCATACCCAACAAAGCCAATGTTTTTACAATTATAGAATTTTGCGATAATAATTATTCATCATTCTAGCAAACCGATAAGAATTCAAAAAAATTCCTAAGATATCTCTACATGACATTGAAACACTCGTACAACGTATAAGCAACGAGAGTAATTTCGAAATTTCAGGATAGAACGCGATATCTGCAATGCATTTTAGATCATTGAGAGAACATTGAACATTATAATCTTAAGGTGCATTAAGTTCTGTTTCGGCAATTACTGGAACATGTCTAAACCGTTTTTTGGCAAATAAGTTAAGGATTAGATTCGATTTTAATATAAAGTTTCGTTGAATTTCAGATTTTCGCGAGAAAAAGCAAAAATTGGCATCGAAAGCAATTTGGAAGTTGTATCTTTAGACTGCTCCAAACGATTTACTTATATCAGTATACCTCGACAATTTTTTGGTGATAACAATAATTTTCATTCAATAAATAGAAAAGAAATAAAAAATTGCAAAAGTGAGAGTATGAAAAACATGAATATTCATTAAGGAACAAATAAGAAAGCCATGCAAATATATGGCCAGCAAGATAGTTGCCTGTATGCGCTTTACAAGCCGATTTACATACCCCGGTCAAGTAAATATAGGTTCAACAACAAGTGCGTATGCGTCGCCCGAAGTGAAAGAAATTTGAACTATACAACGGTTTTCCCAGAAATCTGTGAATGTTTATGCAAGAGCTGGCGAGTAAACGCTTGTCAAAGTGTGCTAAAAAAGTTCATGAACATAAAAGATGATAATCTTAACTCACACACAAACGCGCACACAAACACGCACTTCACATCATTCAAACAATATTTTTATAAATAACATCTTTTTTAATAGTTTTTTTTTTTTTTTTTTTTTCATATTCTAGCCGAAATGCTCTCTCTATCAGATCTCTTTGAAAGCCCAAAAAAATGCTTCAAAATCTTCATGTTATGTACGTTTCCCTGCTTTTCTCTCCTCGCAATAATATCGCAAGGGTGGGTGGGAGGAAAAGCAAAAAAGTATAATATTTTTGAAGCAAAGGAATACTTTCGAAATCAGACAAGTTTTTGGTCGCGCAGTGCCGTAGCTTAGTGCCTTGAGGAAATATGAATGGGGGGGAGGATGCTTCAAAGAATCGATAATCGTCCACCTGCGAGGACGGACCACAATCATAAAGACTCAGAAATAAGCGCAACATACGTGTTTAGCGGACCTTAAGCTGTTTCTACGTAATATTAAATTTTTTTATGAATAAAATTATTTTTAAGAATTATTCACTTTTCTTATGTATTGTCACGAAAATTCCATATTTAATGATTTGAGTTTGCATGAAAACTAGTCAATTTTCTAAGCATCCAAATACCAAAAATGGTCAATCATGAGAGCTGACATTTAGCGAAAAATGACATTAAACACACAAAGAGTGTCGCTATGAATATACATGCTTGCTTGTGTGTTGTTCAAACGGATAAGAATAGATAAGTTCCTGAAAAGTAATATGTAAATAGATCTCTTGGGAATTTTAAATAAAATCTATGCTCTTCTAAAAACTATAATTCGCTCGGAAAGGAGCGTGGACAGGAATAGTGCGTTATGAGATAGTTCATATTGGCTGACTAACTATGACGAGCGACATTCGCAAAAGGCCTGTGCATCGACCATCAATATAATAATCTTGTTATAAGTGTGGATAAAAGGCCACAATGAACATTCTAATAATTGAATTATCCCCATAGATGATGATACTTTACATAGTGGGTAAGATTTGTAAAAGTACAGAAAGCCGAGATTCTTATTACATTCTAAGATTGCAAATTACGTTTTGAATGTAAGTCCGAGTATATTTGTCCCTCTATAATCTTAAGCATCGTGAGCATCAGCTAAAATATACCAAGGGCATCGTGATGTAACATTCTTCACCTGAACACTCTACGGAATACCCTAGGGGAAGCTCATGTGCGATGACTGCATGGACCATCTGTTCAACAATCTTCCTTCTTTGGGCTTATCTCTCTAAGAATAATTCTTAAAGTGGTCAGAATTTTAAACATTTTGTTCCTAGTCTAAGCTTGTTCGCCGTCTGTCCGCCTGGCATTGTTATGTTCAATCGGAAAGTTGCAATTTTCGCGGCAGACAAACGATATTGACGTCGGTATTAACGCCTTACTTTTTTGAAAAATTGTTACATGAATAACTGCGTTAAGCAAAGTTGTGTAAGGTATTTAATGCTGGGCAGTGACCCACTACCAGTTTTTTAATCTTTTTGTAGCTTTTTGGAAAGCAGACTCAAGAATTTTCATTTTCATTTATTTAAAATTTAATACAAAAGTCTGCTCTAAAGTCTCCCATGAAGAAGACAAACTACCGTCGACGCAGAACATTGACCCATCAAAGCGACTACTTTGTCACGATTACGCTTATCAAAGGCGTTAATAAGTTAGTATAGAGCCGATGATGACGTATAAGATAATATTTTTTGAAATAAATTTTCTGCGTTAAATTAAGCAACAGTACGTCAGCTATTGATTTCTTAGCAACGCATTGCTCTAATAAAGAGAGCAAAAATAAATTTTTTGATTCATATAAAACATACGTGTCGACGTTATAATTACACCACGTCAGTCAATCGTTATATTGTTAATATACATTATTCTCCTAAACAGCAATGTTCGCTTGATACATTTTACAGAGCTTCTCGCTACACAAATGGGTTTGTATGCATTGTTGTGTGCTAATAGTCGTTAAGTTTTTCTTTTGCTAACAGATTGACTACAAAAGCTATTGGAAAAAGGAAAAACATGCAAACCCTTGTAAAGGCGATAATTCTCATCTGCCGACTGTATATTTAAAATGGAGTAGAAAAAATTTTTATCCCTCATAATCGATATCATTAATTAACATAACTTGAATAAATAAAATTAATCTATGATTTTTGATTTCCGGAAGGCTCAATAGTATTTAGATTGTCCAATATATATATATATATATATATATATATATATATATTTCTATATATATAGGTTTCCTGATTTATTTGAAATGCATAAGAGCTCAAAAAGAAAAGAAAATAAAACGAATTGAAATCAAGTCAGGAGATCAGATGGAGTGGAAATTCAAATGCAAATCATGATATAATTCATTCATGCAACTATCTTGTCTGTCTTCCATTCATACGTACGCAGAAAAATAATCCTGTTCATAAACAATTAAAGAAAACAAACAACAATAAGATATATATATATATGAATATAAAAAAAAAAAAAAAACAGTCTAAAGACTAAAGACCAAAGACCAAGTCACAACAAAACAATTGCATTCAATCTTATATGCATTACTTTTTTAATATTTCCCATGACAAAAACAAGTGTATATACGTGTGTGTATATATGAAGTGCTTGGTTTTATGTTAGATTTAATTGATGAGGAACGATCACATCGGCCGTCTTAGTAGCCATAATACACCCCACACAATACCGTATCATAGTATAGTAATCCAAAGAAAGAAAAAACAGACAACAACCATAGAAATGTTTTCTTGTGCATTACAAAATAATGCAAAGCAATGCCGTAGATATATGTATGTGAACGTTTACTTTATGGGTGGCTCAAGGGTGCAAATCTATATGATTGCGATAACTTTTTATTGCATTTTATATTTAACAACGAAACGAAAAAAAAAAAAATCAAAAAAAAGATTCAATAAATTATTTAAATTTATAGAAAAATGTGTTTACGGCCTTCTTACTTTCTGCCTGCATGTGCATTAAACTATAAATGTGTTTGCCCGTGTACCTGTATGCCGGTGTAAGTCTGCCTCTTCGGGCATTATATAGAGCTCCGACAGCTGATAAACAGTTAAGATTCCTTAGTGATGACTGCCATTATTATGGCGGTTACTAGACATGAACATGAACGTGAATAACCACTAACCCACGCCAAGTCATCTTTAACGAATCGTGTGATTTTTATTAGAGTTTTTACTTTCAAAATTTCTTTTAGTGTTTTTAATTTTAAATACATATACACAGGAACATCTACATGTGTACATGCAAATAAATTTTCTTTTCTTTTAAATAGTAGTCCAACACTCATTAATCAAACTAAGCTGGGTTTAACTTTGTTATGAATGGATGCCTGTGCAAACATTTTGAATTTGGGAAAAACTTTTGACATACGGGAAATGGTGGCAATATCGAAGAATCGAAGGTAAGTTCAACGCAGCAAAAACAACGGATGTTAGAAAATGTATAGAATCGCTTAGCGACTTGTTGTAGGGATAATTGGTGAACTTTTGAGGCAAACTTTAAAGCAACGTGGCCTGTTCTGGAGGAAAGTGCCTCAGATATATAACCAATGCTAGATAAAAAGGCAAATGGAGAAAGAGAGAGACAAGCAGAGGGAGAGAGATAGAGATAGAGATAGAGAGAGGGATAGAGGGGGGCAGAAAAAGTTCCAAATATATCTTAACTATTTAGCAAAAAGGCAGGGTAAAGACGAAAGCGTAACTTATATATTATACCCCTGATATCTAAAAAATCGGATTGATCATGACATTTTTTATTTAACACAACTCAAAAATGTTTATATTTGCGGAAAAAGAGGAATTTTTAAATATTTTCCATAACATTTTACGTCAATACTAATTTTGAGATAAAAGATATCGCTAGCCAAGATTTAAATAAAATTAAACTTACCGCCTGTCATCTTTATCTCTCTCAAACGCTTTTTCAGCATTATCATTTACTTCCAATGCATTGCTCTGATCGTCAATATTTGCTGTCCGTAATTTATCAACTTTATCTATAGAGTCCTCATTTTTATTATTCATTTGTAATTTTTGTATATTATTTACGTTAGCACTATCACTATGCAAAACATCAACAGACACTTTTACGGGTCTCAGGGGATCTTCCAACTCCATTAAAGGAGAAGAAGTAATTGAGGATTCACGCATCAATATCGAAGATTGAGATAATTTATCTATCTTTTCAAGATTTGGAATAGTCTCTTGATTGGAAGCTTCGTCAGAACTTATTTCATTGCCCAGTACATCAGCGACAACTTCATTAACATCTTTAACTACTGCGGCCAGCGCATCGGCTTCTTCATTGTTTATTGCAGATGCTGCTTGATTTACATATTTTGCACTTTCCGAAGCGAACACGTAAAACAGGAAGCAACTGCAGAGAGATAAAAAGAGAGCAATATATACAAAATACCAATTTATAATAATTGAGCGAAATGCTTCTGTTTTTTACATTCAACTCAGGTATTACACTACCTACCTTAATGTAACAAACAATAAACTCCAGTGTGTTAAATGCAAATCCATTCGCATTTTAATTAATTTTTCTTTTTATTTATCAATTATCAAATTTTTTTTTTTTTCTTTAAATATTAAAAAGCAAAAAAAGAATTTTCTTTTTTTTTTTTGTTATTCTAAATCTTTTCCTCTCATCTGCACATTAGCAATTGCTTTCACTACCAACAAATTTGCATAAAAGAATTTGACAAAATTTTATACGCTTTTTATCGCACTATTTTACGCTGCAAATCTCACCAAATTGAACATATGAATTACAAAAATTTTAATTGATTTTCTATTAAGGTGCCTTTTATTTATTAGCAATATTCACTCGCGCAAATTAATTTGTTACTATTTTCCTGCAAAAACAACTAAAGGCTATGAAAATTCTCATTTGAGACACAATGTCCAAAATTCTAATAAACTAGAGTTACCAAATCAATATATCCGCTTTCAAATTTACAGAGTACAACGTACAAGAAAGGTGAAAGTACACACTTGGCAACGTTTATTTATTATTTTAAAATGTAGTACACGTTGATTAGTTAAAATTAGAAGAAATTATTTGATTTTTTTAAAGGATAATATTAGTGTATTTCTTTAAGTAGTAGACTTGGCAGCAATACGTGTTTATCACTGTTGTTAAAAACAATAATTTTTGGTTGACATACGTTTATTGGATGGCAATACCTAACAAGCTCTTATGTAGCAGCTGTCTCAAGCATATGTTTGTAACGTGAAACAAGCAAATTTTTATTGCGGTCAATTTTTTCCTTGCTTGTTTTGGCTTGTGCGTCGAAACAAATGTTTAGCAAAATTTTTAAATATTTGCTTGCTTCTGACACAGAAAACAGGGATGTTTTTATGAAAACAAAACGACATCATATGGTTTATACTTCAAACATAATATGGTCATTTACACTTTTGTTAAAAAACAAAAAAAAATTTATGAAATGAGTGAATTGCTGCCTATTTCTATACAGTGGGATTTTTTCTCGTTTTATTATAAGTTTACTTTGTTAGAAAAAGTATTTTTAAAGAATTATTTCGCTTTATTAATTCTGCATTTCATTAACGGCTGTGTAAACATATGATTAGTTTTAGCGAAGCATGCATGTGTGTGTTCTGTTTTGTTTCGTGCTTGAAGCAAGTCAAAAAGAAGCGCACATTTTCAGATCGGTCGGATTTTTAGTTTAGTCCACTCTAACTGGGCATACAAAATAAGAAAAAATATATTTACAAAGTTAGCTCAAGTCGCGACTGTTTTTCTTTTATCGCGTCTTTCTTTGTTCAACAGCTTAGGAATGAGTGGGAAACCATCTCTGGTCCACTGGTTTCGTAAAGGACTAAGAGTTCACGATAACCCTGCCCTCACTGACGTATTTGAACAGGCACGGGCGTATCCCAGCAGTTATAGCATCAGGCCAATATATATATTGGACTCTACGGTTACAGAATGGACAAAGATTGGCGCAAATCGTTGGCGTTTCTTACAAGAATCATTAGAAGATTTGCATAGTCAATTAGAGGCTTTAGGTAGTCGTTTATATGTGATCCGTGGGTCGCCAAGCACTGTGTTTGCACGCTTGTTCAAGGAATGGCATGTAGAGGTTTTGACATTCGAAGAAGATATCGAACCATATGCTCTTAAATATGGCGCGGCCGTAAAAGAAATGGCAAAAGCGAGTAATGTGACGGTGAAAACACACTATTCACATACTATTTATGATCCTCATTCAATTATGCGGATTAATGAGGATAAGGCTCCTTTGACTTATCAAAAATTTATGGAGCTTGTGAAAACATTAGAGCAATCGAAACCTTTGGAAAAACCTAAAAGTTTAAGAAATTTAAATAAACCTGAAAAAGATTTTCATGAAAAAGAAGATATAAAATGTTACGACATTCCTTTGTTAGATGAATTAGTGAAGACCAAAGAAGAGTTAGGTGTTAACAAATTTAAAGGCGGTAGGAATTCTGTTTGAATATGTTTGGCCTTCTTTCTTCTAATTTCATATCTTTCTTATAGGTGAAACAGAGGCTCTGAAACGTTTGAATGAAGTACTCGCTGACGAAAAGTGGATAATTGAATTTGAAAAACCTAATACTAAGCCGAATTCTTTGGAACCGAGTACGACTGCCCTTAGCCCTTACTTGAGTTTTGGTTGCTTAAGCTCGCGATATTTTTGCCAACGTCTTACAGATATCTTAAAACGTTGTCCTAATCATACGAAACCTCCGGCCTCTCTAATGGGACAATTGATGTGGCGTGAATTTTTTTACACTGCCGCTACATATGAGCCAAATTTTGATCGTATGATGGGCAATTCTTTTTGTTTGCAAATCCCGTGGCTTTCAAATGCGGCTCATCTTGACGCGTGGACTTTCGGTCGTACAGGTTATCCATTCATTGATGCATGCATGCGTCAATTGCGTCACGAAGGTTGGATTCATCATTTAGCGCGTCATGCTGTCGCTTGTTTTTTAACACGTGGTGATCTTTGGATTTCATGGGAGGAAGGAGAGAAGGTCTTTGAAGAACTTTTATTAGATCAAGATTGGGCTTTAAACGCTGGTAATTGGATGTGGCTGTCGGCGTCAGCGTTCTTTTATAAGTACTTTCATGTCTACAGTCCTGTAGCTTTTGGAAAGAAAACTGATCGCTCTGGTAGCTATATAAGAAAATATGTGCCTGAATTAGCCCAATATCCTGGCGACAAAATTTATGAACCATGGAAGGTCTCTTTAGCGGATCAACGTGAATATGGCTGCGTATTAGGTTCCGATTATCCTCATCGTATAGTAAATCATGAGGTAGAACATAAAGAGAATATAAAACGCATGTCGGCCGCTTATAAAGTAAATCGCGAAGTTCGAACCGGAAAATCTGAAGAAGACAACGCGGATGAAGCAAGAAAAAGGAAAAACAAGACGAGTTCAAAACAGTCAGCGAAAATGAAGAAAGTTTAAAAGTGCACTTAAGTAGCTTTAGTAAGCGTATGAATTTGTTATCTTTTTATAATATTTTGTTAAAAATAAAATTTCCAATTCCAAGTAGTCCATTTGTCAGTTTACATGTTTGGAAGTAGGCCGGAAGAATTTGATAACTGCAAATGAAGCCGTGACACTTAAGAATTGAAAATTTAGAATATCGATCGAATATATAAAGAGTAACCAACTTGGTTGTTATATGCTTCCGATGTCGGGAAGTTCACAGAAGATTTCTAGAGCAAAATGAATGAAACAATTTTTCCAATATTTGTTTATTAAAGAAATGGACAATATTTATACATATTTTTTGTTCGTTTAGATGTTTTTTAAAATATAATAAGATTCAACAGGAATTAATCCAAAATAAATGTTACGAACATTACTTTTGATCGGCTTCATTAATGGACGTCTCGAATTTGCAAATACGCATATCATCAGCCACCAAATTGGTCTCGCCGGGATCCATACGGTAGCGATATGTGCCAGGACTCATCATTTTTTTCGGTAACCATATCTTAATACCCTCAAATTCGTAACAGCCCTCTCGCTCTGCCGGCGGATCTGGATAAATAATTTCGTCCAGCTTTCTCTCATCTACGTCATCGAAAGCGGTAGTCCCTTCGGTTTGTAGCATTTCATCTACCCATGGGTTGACATCGATTGGAGCCGTCTGTAAAGGTTTACCGGGTGTGACTGTCACAGCTTCCACATCTTGTTCGGAAAATCCTGCAGGACAACTGCCCCAAAAATTGCTATCCATCATTTCTTCGGATTTAATATCAATAACTTCAATTTTCTGATCTTGTCCTCCACATGGTTTATCATCCGTTTTGCTATCGCCAGCCTCTTCAGGAGGCAATATCGGCTCTGGCGAAGTTGTACTCAATAATCTGCCCTTTACATTATTGAGCAGGACTGGGAGAGTCTCATTACTATTTTGTAGCATTCGAAGTAAAAAGCTCATTCTTCTAAGGAGCATAATTTTCTCGTGTCCCTTTATCCTTTTTTTATTAAAATTTCACAAATTACAAATTTTTAATATGAACGACAAACTATGAAGACGACGTACACAAAAGAATTTTTTCTGTGCACTGTTTCAAATACGTTTGGGTTTTGAAAGATAGATCGAAGCAATTGAAAGTCGAAGTGAAGCAATATTCAATTCAAGTAAAAAATTCTTTTTATATCTTTCAGTTAAGAATCTGTTCTGTAATACTTATCAACATGCGGTTGTTTTTTGTTGTTGGGACGCAGTGCGATTGACTTCAAGTTTAAGCCGACGGTTTTTTCCACAAACGCAACTTTATATTTCGTTTGCATTCATTGTCTGTACTGCAGGCCGAAAAGAAAATATTCTTTCGTCTTCTCTTTCGAAAGACGTGCGATGCAAATTTTGGGAAATCTCGAACGTTCAAATTTTTAATTTTCAATATTTCTGCAACATTTTGTGTTTACAGATCCACTATCGATAGAGAGAAGCTTAGCAATTTTCCACAAATATAATCTAAAAGCTCTAGACTAACTTAAAATTCTGAATCAGCTTATCCATGTCTACCAGTTTTTATTTTGCCAAAGGAAATTTTCAGGCTCGTAAAAACTAAAATAAGTCGCACAGATATATTCCGCATATATATTTCTGTCCTGTATGATCCATTCATAAGTACGCGTATAACGGCTACAGAATCGAACGCAGTAAGACGAACGGTTAGATTGATGCGATATGCGGTACTCTATCATATTGTAGGCTTCCTCGCAAATAAACTTGATCAATTTTCCTCGAATTTGTAAATGTATTTATTAATAGGAGTATTCTAAAAGGTCTGGGCGTTACCAACACAATTTTGTTTACGTCTTTACTAATCCATCCTAAAAGCCTATATGGTCAAAAATGAAGCCATCGATCTGGAAAAAAAAACGTAGCAATACTATGATGGGTTACGGCCTCACCACAGATTATTTCAAAGTAAACCTTTGGGAAGTTGTCGAATGCGTAGTGTTTTCCGAATCATTTTCAATAGTGCTCGCCCTTGGGACAAAGCAGGTCGGCGTACAAAATTGCATCATGATATCTCAAAACCTGCGTCCCGAAGGTTGACAGCAAAAAAGCAAGACGGACGGGCGGACAGATAAACTTACATCGATTCAGAGAGTGAGTCTAAAATGATCGGTACAATAAAAAGTGAATGGACATATGTTCATTTCTAGGTGCCTTCACGTTTCTTTCTTACATAGAGAAAAAATTAGAAGCTTGGAATCTTAGCCCAAGGATGAAGGATCACTTCCCGAATAACGCCTATCCTTTGAAATGGCATATGAATAATTGCATTACGCGAAGTAGTGCCGGATATTTAATGGTAGGCCGTGGCCCACTATAAAGCTTTTGCTTAAAGTATTAAATACTAAATTTTATTGTCATATAAAGCATCGGTCCATGGGAGGTTGTTCAAGAAACTGGTCCAGGCCAACTAAACATTTCATATCAATTCATTTTTTCAAAATCGTCTTGTTCAACAATTTTTGTTGAGAAATTTTAAAAATTTGCAAATTTTTTTCCCAAAACAAAGTATTGTGCAGGCAAGAACGTAAATGGTTGATGATGTGCCCACCGTCGTTAACCCAAAACATGCCAGTTTACCTATTTTCGTAAAAATACCTTAAAAATTGCGACGCGTAGGTTGAAAAAAAAAAATTCATGAATAGACATCAGACAGACAGACAGACGAACAGACGGACAGACGAACGTAAGTGTGTTCGGAAAATACTTCTGAATTTGTCGATACAATCAAGTATCATACATGCAAAAGGGTAAACATCTGCAACAAAACCTGTAGGGTGTGAGAAGTCGTTCATTTATTTTGCATTTCAATCTAACTCATTTTACATTGTAGAAGCGGTATATTTATCTATCTAAATCAATATATATATATATATAAATATATATACATTTGTTTATTTATGAAGAATGTAATATAAATAATTACATTTTCAATATTATTATTTAAATTTAAGCACATATTCGATTTGTATTTGTTTTTGCGGCCAGATGCATTACGGCTCAATAGTAAATTGCAGGAAACAATAAGAATGAATATACTGCTGCTACAGAAGGCGAAGAAGGCATCTTATCTTAATATATATTGTATTTATTCTTGGTCGATCTTAGTTGGTCCGGTTCGGTCATCAAATCACTTTCCCCTTTGTTGCAATCCTCATAGTAATAAATCTTGAGATAGTTAGCTAACTGTGTGTGAACTAACTGTGCACTCAAGATGTGTTGGAAATTGTATGCCTATCTTGCTTGCATTTATTATTGAATTCAATTTCACTCAGTTGAAATAATTGAATTATGTGTGTGTATGCATAAAACTACACAATAACTAAGGCATATAACGTTAATTCGTTTGTAAGGTATCAATTGCAATTTTTCGCTACAAATTAGTAATCAATACTAATTATTACGCAACCGATTACATCTAAATTCTATTGAGGTTCACAAGTGAAGCGCGTTGCAAGCAATTGCAAGCAATTGAAAGGAAATTATAGAGGAACGTTAAAATTGAATAGAGAGAAAAGTCTATCTTCGGTTTTTGATTCAAATATTAATGTCCGTGATATCACATCTTAAACGGTCTCCCTAAAGGTGGTTCAGAAACTTCGTAGCCTAAGAATGAAACAGTATTGTAATATATCCAAAAATATATTTTTTCTAACCCATTCCCCACATAAGTTCTTGTAAGTTTTTTGCAACGAATTTTTAATTGTCTTCAATCCTATATCTAAAGTGATTTCCTTTAATTCTTCTAAGTACTCGTCTATTGCTACTAAGGATTTTGACGATTAAGGTACAATTGAAATGTTGACCAGATCTCGTAAATATAGTGCACGATTCAACAGCTCATAGTTATTCAGTAAATGCAGAAAATTGAAGATAGAAAAAAGGGTAAGTTTTTACCTTTTTGGCAAAACAAATTCCTCAAGAAACTTTCAGGGATAATTGCCTCTTATTATTTGAGAATAAACGATTAATAAAATCTCTTTCGCTTTTCAACAAGATAATCCAATAGTGTTCTTTCACAATTCTGCTTACTTTGGCTTCTTAGATAGCTGCGTTAAGTTTCCCCTGCTTTCTATTTCTATACCTATCACTGATGGGTGGATGAGGCTTATATTTATTTCGCAGACCCCACAAAGTATATATACTGTTGATGAGCATCAAACTCTAAATGAAGTTAAGCATGTCTGTCTGTCCGTCTGTTTAATGTCTGTTGTGAATAATCTCCGGGCCGCAAAAATGAAGCAAAACTTTGCAGAAACATTCAAAGTTCTTGCTCCCACCGAAAATAGGTGGAAGGAGGCGCCTCCCCTATAACGTAGACTAAGAACATCTCTGCCTTTGAAAGAGATAAAAAGTTGGTCTTTGCTCATTGGTCAAAAACTACAAAAGATAAATGTGCACATATGGGAAGATATATTCTATGGGCGATGGTGTAGCATCTTCACATAAACGGGAAAAATTGACTGCGCCTAGTCAATGTTAGGCTATATCCAAATTGAATTATTTTTTCAATATCTCTTTAACCCGTAAAAACAAGTTTCAACAGCCATATAAAGTATATAAATTTTTGGCCAGTTTGAAATTCGGAATGTAATGAAGCATGTCCATCTGTCCGTCTGTCCTTCTATCCGTCTGTCCATCTGTCCGTCTGTCCATCTGTCCGTCTGTCCATCTGTCCGCCTGTTAAACCGTCCACTCGTCCGTGTGCCCAGCCACATCGTATCGGCTCCCTATCGCCTTGCCAAATTTGCAAAAGGGCTTGGTAAAGGCTTAAACAAGTCGAACGCCCAAAACTGAGAAAATGTTTACTTTCCGTGACTTTTGCTCGTTGCCCATAAATTACATCAGGTACACGATATAAATTTCACACAGAATTCTTTTACAAGTAAGAAAATCATATTCGGTCTTTTGCAAGGAAAAGGACTACATTTTCATACTCTATATATAGGATGAGTGTGGCTGTTTTCCTCTATTTTTACAATAAGAGTGGAAATTTATATAGTGCATATAGTAAAAAGTAAAAAACGCGGAAAGCAAAAGTGTTCACAGTTTTTTTTACATAGGCCTGGG